TGCACTATTGCAAGAAGGGCTCAGCCAGCGGGCTGTCGCACGTCAGCGCCACATAAGCCAGTCCTGGGTTTCGAAAGTTTTAAGACGCTTTCGGGAGACTGGTGGCTTTATTCCGAGACAAAGTTCTGAACAGCGCCGGCGCACATCGCAGAGGGAAGACCGTTTTTTCATGTCAACCTCTCTATGAAATCGTCATTTGACTGGAATCGACGTCCAGTAAGAGCTCAGAAATGTTCGTAGGATAGCTGTTAGCGAGTAGACAGTTTGTCTAAGACATAAGCAATAGAATTTAACTCCAAAAAGGCCTGCCACAGGCTCGAAACTGACGGCAGGTCACCGATAAGCACGCTTTCAATTTGCTCGTACACATCTCGATGTTAAGTCGAGCAAGCCACCCCCATAAGCCACTGTTTCAGCGAACCAGCACTGCACAAATCGCTCCTCAGGCCGCCTATAAACCCGACCTCTTCGACTGCTGCCCTGCAAACACAGTTTGCATTCATCGGAGAACAGAACTCGCCTCCATTACTCGCCTTCCCATCGAGATGTGTACGAGCAAATTGAAAGGGTGCTTATCGGTGACCTGCCGTCAGTTTCGAGCCTGTGGCAGGCCTTTTTGGAGTCAAATTCTATTGCTTATATCTTAGACGAACTGTCCACTCGCTAACAGCTATCTTACGAACATTTTTGAGCTCTTGATGGACATCGGTTACAGTCAAATGATGAGTTCATAGAGAGGTTGACATGAAAAAACGGTCTTCCCTCTGCGATGTGCGCCGGCGCTGTTCAGAACTTGGTGTCGGAATAAAGCCACTAGTCTCCCGAAAGCGTCTTGAAACTTTCGAAACCCAGGACTGGCTTATGTGGCGCTGACGTGCGACAGCCCGCTGGCTGAGCCTTTCTTGCAATAGTGCAACGATTTGTGCTGCTTCTGAAGGTGTAGAATCCCAGGTAAAGTGTCAAAAGAAGCGGAGATGTGTATGAATCAACGTGTGAAAGCAAAAATCTAAAAACGCGTGCTTTTACAGGGGGTAAATAGGCCGCACCTCGCGACGTATCAAACAGTTCATACATGTCTTTTTCGTTACTTCTTCACATCAGCCGGGATATCTTTTTAAATACTGGTGTGATTTAAATGAATTTGGTATCAACTTAAAGATAAAAGTTTAATCTTTAAAATGGTGCCACTTTTTTTGTTACTAACAAATTCGTTAGTACACAAGTTCGCGTGGAAACAACTTCATGTAAGTGATTCCATAGTTTTGCTTTGAAGGTGTGAGAACGGGCATGTGTGAATGTGATTTAATGTCAAAGAGCAATGTCATGTAGATAGATAAGTGTACATCTACCATCTAATTTGGAGAAGGAATTGAATAGAATTTAATCATATTTAGCATATTTAGCATAATTATTATTATTATGTATTATGAATTTTATACTGAACATTTACAACTACATGGGCTCATCGACAAAACAATTATTAATGTAATGCATTCTGTTAAATTTAAATAAAGTAGGCCAAGTTTCGACGACATAATATTTCAATGCTTGATAAGGTGTTATTACTCTTTTATGCCAATTTTACAAATTATGTTTATTAGTTCAATTTAATAAAAATCATTTAAGAGCAAAACACAATGTTTTCACAAGTCTTGCTAAATCTTAGTGCTCATATCATAGAGTACACAAATAACAATAATTATTCACTTAATTATGAATGAATGCAATATTTATTTAGCTAAATAATACAAAACATACAGTGTAATTAATTAATTACATTAAAAAATATTTGTTTTAGCTGTTGTTTTGTACTGTTTGTCTTTTAAAACTTGCTTGTGTGTTCTTAATATTCTACATTTTGCAAATAAATGTAAAATGATTAACTGAACACATCACCTTTTTAACACAAAAAATAAATAATCATTTTATCAAACAGAACTTTAGCTTGATTATTGGTAGTAAAAACATTAAAAATAAAAATGGTACCTACTAGGAAGTGCATGTGTGCACGAGTTTTAGTACCTTTAAAATATCCACCAACCAAGGGATCATCATTGTTTTTGTTAATTTTTTTGACAAGACAAAAAATATGATTGATGAGTACTGGTTAAAAAAATATTGTAAAAATTATTAAAAAGAAGTAATAATTATTGTCGAAATTGCAACTCAAATGAGATGATAAAAATGTGCTCAGCAGTGTATTGTGAACTTAACATTCAATGCAATACACATGACAGGTTGTGTAATAATGATTTACATCATACTTACCTGTCTGTAACATCTGAATGACAACAAGTTTGATTAATTTATGCACATAAAACAAATGAATGTAATTATCCTACTGGTGGTCAAGTTCGATTTTAATTATTTTAAGTTATTTAGTGAAGTTCATTCATACATGTTTTGGAAACGCATGGCTCATTAGAATTTAAAGATCACATGATTTTAACTAAAAGGTCACATGACTACTGCATTTGCACTGCTGCAAGCACGCGGTCTACTACCAAAAAATAAATACAATATGACTTGTTAGACCTAACGTTACATAACTTGAGAGCATAACCATAGAAACTTACCTTTGCTAACTATCTCATCAGTAGTTTTGTCGTTTGAATTTGTACTTGCAGGGCATTTTTTCACTTTTTGTGGAGCATGTTTTGAAGAGCCATCATTCACTTCACTACCGAGAGCCATCACAACACGAGGAATCAATCCGCTAACGATTGTCCGCGACGAGCACGGCACCACACTCAGCTGAAACAGCACATGCGGTAGAATTAAGGTTCAAATTCGACTGATTAGTAGAACGCTGAAGAAGTACGAAGTCCTTGTATAATCCAACTAAATCAGCTGAACGTCAATTTCCTTCACAGTTCTACTACGCAACATACCAACCAAACGTCAAAGTATAATAGAGCATACCAATGTCGTATCTTCTGTTGTAATTAGCAGATATATTTTTTATGAATGAAACATTGCTTCTTGTGGTAAAATTATTGACTTCATTTGATCTAAATTATGTAATACACGCATTAACCAGCAAGTAGATATTTTTTTGAAAAATATTTTTTCATTCGAAACCACAGACCACGTAATTGTGCACGTAATTTCGAAACAACCAAAGACATTTTTTTTTTATTGTTGGTTAAAAAAGTAATTTGGTCTTGTCTCTGGTTTTGTATTGAATCTTTTCATTCCTTAAAATCCAATGAGTTATGAATAATAATAGAGACCCTCTACATTTGTAAAGCTTAACCAAATTATGAATCAACTAAGGGGATTACACTAAAACACACGCAACTGACGCAACTGCTTCTTTGTGTAAAAGCTGAAAGAAAGCTACTTTTTCTCAAACTCAAGTCAAATGCCTTCACGAACATTTAATTTTACTGTTTTTAGTGAGAAAATAAGGTGTTCGGACTTTTATTGGAAAGTACTGAGCCCCGATTACGGTAATTTTTAACGTCAACAATCCAGACACGCTTCTCGATTCTGCGATACGATTGGTCGTTCAACAGCGTACGTCAGCTGTTTTGACCAATCGTATCGCAGAATCAGAAACGCGTCTGGATTGTAGACGTTAAAAGTTACCGTAATCGGGGCTCTGAATTTGCACCTCTCAGCTTAAATGAAAAACGGAGCGCAACTGGTTAAGAAGCGCCAATGTTGGAGACGTTAAAAATTAACGCAATCGGGGCACAGGAAGCTAATAGAACTTGCTTTCTGTCTCGCTTGCACGCAAGAATGAAGTAAAGTGTATTCAATAATTGAACACATGACTGTATTGTTTAGGTTTTGCCTTAAAAGGAAAGGTTGCGTAGCGAAAGTTGGGACGAACACGGTCACACAGACACTGATGTAATATTTGATTGAATACACAGTCTCTCTAGACAAGAGGCAAAACGTGACAGTCGTAATTTTGAAATCCCTTCGTTCCTGAGTTTTTTTTGTGTGGTTGGTTTGGTTATTACGTTTTGTGAAGCAATTTTGAAATTAAAACTGTCACTTCTTGTAATTTTTCTTGGAGATTAGTTAAACGTAATTTAAGTAGGTAACAAATACACAATAGAAAAAAAAACCGATTCGAAATTTCTAACAGAAACGACAGCCATTTTATGTTCCAACTTTAGGTTTAGGAATACACGTTTATTTTGTAAGTATGGCTAGTTTACTTTTGATGATAATATGCTTGACTTTAATGACATTAATGACATCCCTATGTATTACTTTTCTCTCTAATCCACAGATATGGATTAGAGTAGATGCAGCAAGTTGATCGTCAAAGCGTGCCATTCCGATATGTCCAAATGGACATACATGGTCGAGTGATGTTCATGTACTCCGATTACAACAATCGGTTACGATGATTTTACGAGGACAGTAGTACGAACACGGTAGAAAGAAGAAATTATTTACGGATTGAGAATTGTAATTAACAGCACAAGTAACAAATAATTAATTAGAATAAAGTAGCAGTAGAAGAAGTATAAAGTAGCATTGTTTTTAATACATATCCTGCGATGTACTCTAAAAGCTAAAACCATGGTCCGTGTATGTGGTGCACTCATACCGATCACAAGGAACCGTACTTACTTTTATAACAATAAGACACACACTGATCCATGTATTCATGCACTTGACCAATTTTTGTCTTGAAATGCTGGTAGGGTAAAAAAAATAACGAGATTTGACGATTTATAAGAATTAATTTATTTAAAAAGGTAAATAAAGATGTTTTTGGTTTTGTATTTAAGAAATTATCAGTTTTATCGGAATTAATTAATTGTCGAATCGAGTCACACGATATCTTTCGATGACTTTGCGAATGCAGTACGATGATACGATTATTTTTACGTTGCGGCAATCACTAAAATTCGCTAAAATGACACTAATGACGTTTAAAAAGTGGCACGCTCGGCTTCATACAAATTTTTTCACATGCTGCATCTATCTTTATCTGTGCTCTAATCCATATCTGTGACTTTTCTCTATGATGACATCACAGACTGACACTGACGGAAAAAAACATAAACAGAGTGGACGGACGGAGTTTACTGATTTTTTCTAATTTGACGGCGTTTTAACTTTAATACATCGTTTTAAACCCTCAAGAGGAGATTTTTATTCACAATAGTCAATTAAAGAGATCAAAATGGCGTCGGAAAATTATCCCAAGGTAAATATTCAGCAACGAATGAAATAAGATTTACTTCCAGAGTTTTCTCTTAAAACTCATACACAAAACTTGTGGTAATCTTTGCAGAAGATGCTAGATGGGTGGTACTGCCGCTCTATAGCGAATATGCAGGCTAGTGAAGCTGCCAGCGTGAGCAGCAACACTCCTGCAGAGTCCACTCACGCTCGGGACTCAAACAACTATACAAGTGACAGCAGCAGTGAACCTGAGCCTGAACCTAATTTTAGAATTCAATATCTTAATCTCAAGAAGAAGCTGAAGTATTTGATTTATGTAAGTTTTATCACATTTACTTATTTTGTTATCTACCTGCCTTGCTTGACTAATATTTATCCTACTTATTTTTCAGATATAAAGTAAAAACACTAGTACTAAACTAGCGAGGCTTATCTAGCTTCTGTCTATGATATCCAAGTGATGATTCTTCAGGATCGAGGCACAACTTCATTTTCCATTTATACTTTGTAAATTACATAACAATTATTTTTTCATATTTCTAGGAAAATGAATGTTTTCAAGATGCTCTTAGGTCCAGTCAGAAAAGAATGCTCAAAGTATCTAGAGACAGAAGTTTTTTGCTGGACAGACTCTTGCAGTATGAAAAACCTGAGAGTACCACATCTGAGAGTGATGATACAGAGTCATCAGATGACACAGAATACAATCGCATGGAAGCTATAAAACGGTAAACCCCTCAAAAATTTAATTAGGGTAATTTCTTATAAGTTTATTACCTACTGGATATTAAATAAAATTGGAGATGTAATCAAAAAAGCCTGGCTTAGAATAAAATTTATTTAAAAAAAGGAACTTTTAATATTTTGATTTTCCAGTTATTGTACAACATAAATAGTTTCTTCATGGCATGAAATATCATGAAAGTGATTTTAAAGTTGTGTTGATCAATTTCAGAAAAAAAATTGAAGCCAGTGCAGCCCATCAAAATGTTTCTGCACCATCAACCCTCAACAAGGGGCCCAGTGCTGTAAAAAGGAAGAGAGCAGTAGTAGCTAAAAAACCTCAGAATGCCAGTAATGTTGTAAGTATTATTCTAAGTTAACAAAAGGTAGGGTCATTGGAGTGGAACTTTTTAAGGCCAGGCCATACTTGAGGGCCGCTGCGCGCCGCCGCACTAAACAACAAAATGTTCGTTTAATTTTGTAAGGCGTGTCGCTTTAGGGTGGTGCTGAAGCTAGAGTTGCCTAGTAAGGCGACATGAATTGTAGCTGATCTTGATTGCAACCCGATCACAGCATTTGTGGTTTAGTTATTACCTAGCCGAATCCAATACGGTAAAACTTATACCATTTCAATAAAGTCCAAAACATAGTAGCAACAAAAAAACGAGTTAATAAACCAAATGAGAGTTTTTACTTTACAAACTGACTAGATTACAGATACATTATACATTGATATTATACCGTCAACGTATTTTTAGCAACCGCAACCCGTACGAGAACTTGTTAGCTAGGTGGCTTCTCATGTTATAGAAAAGCATATCTGTTATGGGCATGGCCATTGATCCTATTGACCATTACACAGTAAACTTACATACTATTAAATACATAACAAATAAACTGTTTGTCCCATTCCAGCATCCAAATGCCGGAGCAATGATGGCGAAAGCGTCACCTGCTCTCGGGTTCGGATTGTCAGCGGGAGACGGCCACATGACGCCCGAAGAGGTTGAGCGCCACTTGCAGTCGCGGCAGTCTTACCTGGAGCTCCTGCCTGAGAGGGCGCCGCCGACCGTGCCCACTGAGATGTTCAGCAATGATCCGTCACTGGATAGGTAGTATTTTGATCAACCCCATAAGCCACAGTGTTTATTATGAAAAAATCTGTTTGTAATGAGGGCTATAAAATCAACTATAGTGTTATAAGTCTTACTTAGGATTTAAATTCTTAGTGGTCAATCTGGTTCTTTTCAACCGACTTCAAAAAAGGAGGAGGTTCTCAATTCGACCCGTATGTTTTTTACATGACCTAGGTAGGATTAATAATACTAACACACACATGCACATATACATTACATACGCAACACACACTTGAAGAGCACTGTTATTTTTTTTTGTTTTGTGTATATAGGTGTACCAGAATCTCATGGCAAACAAAAATATTGGAAAAGTGTGTTTTTCATATGGCCATTGTCTATGGCTTTACTGTCACCTGTCAAAGTAAATCAAGACATCTGTCAGCCGCTGCAGAAATTTTGTAATCTCTTCATGCCTATTTGTTATTTTTGTGAAAAAGTCGAAAAAGCTCAAGCAAATCATATTGTTTTCAATGTGTATTGTAAAATAGGGCATAATTCAAACTCAATCTTTGATTTTAAAGCACGTCGTTGATTTGACAGTAAGTTGGAGTGAAATGTTTTGATACATTTAGTTTATTACCTAACTGCGTCAGAAGGAGGGTGGGTTATGTTTATTTTTAAATTATTCTTACCCTAATAGCTGCTTTATCGGGGTTTTCAGGTGTTTTATTTTCATACATTGGTGCAGAGGAATAGTGAAAAAGTTATGACCATGTAAAGAAAATTGAAAAAGATTTCATCAAGCTAGTTTGAGTAATTGAAATGCTGAAAGACCGATTTATATTATACAGAGTGGAATTACATCCTGTATTTTTATTACATCGATCGTTAGGGTTAAATTAATTATTAATTTTATTAATTAAGTATAAGGATGAAATCTCTCTAACAAACTTGATAAATCAAATGAAAGGAAAACCATGAAATCTTAAATTATTTTGATAATGTTCTTAAAATCTTAAATTATTTTGGTAATGTAGTAGTGAATTTTCGAAAAAAAATCGAAAATCTTTGAATGCAGTTCTCTTTTTTTTTTTCAAAAATTAAGGAATGTTTTCTTTCAGTAAAATTTTCTATCTGCAGTATTAAGAGTACTTTCCCTCCAGGTGGCATTTTCCACCCTGTATAATAAACCTCTTTAACTTGATCATCTATTGAAGAACATGAAATGCAAGTGGAGTTCTTAGAATCGTTTTCTAGTTCTGAATGAAGTGATAAGTTATAAGTATACAGATAAGATATAAAATGTATAGGTAGGTAGGCATTCGTACTTCATGTTCATTAATATTAAAGTCATAAATAAAAAAATAAAAAGTATCAAGATCGTTTAATCCAATTTCCCCAGTATTGCACTCAACAAAGTTTATTTTCCCCATTTGCCATGAGATTCTGGTACACCTATAACTTAAATATTAATGTCTACCCACTTGATATGGCTGCCACAGAATACCAGCGTTATACTCTAGGTCTTGACCTAGGGCATAGCACATGCTGAGTGGCTACCATTTTTGGTTCAAATTTAACTAGGTACCTACTTAGTAATTATATTGTTGTAAGTAGTCTAAGGATGTTTGGACTAAATAAAAATATTTTTCTTTCTTTCTTCTTTCTAAATATGGTTACTAAATCATTATTGTTTGTTACAGTGAATCAAATGACGTGTTGGAAAATTCACCAAATGTAGAAGAATGGTTTGATTAGCATTTCCTCACTTAATGTTATTAGGATTATCGTTTAATTTTATTAGTTTGTGTATGTATAAGTATACACTAGTACAAGTACGATAGACTATTTATTTACATCCCCTTTTAAAATTTACTTTTATGAAAATACTTCCTGCATAATATTTATTGAATATTTACAAGTATAACGGGGTCGGCAACTAGGGACTTTTTCAATTTAAAGTTGCGGCTCTTGAGTTTGGACGGAACATTATTTGATTATTAAAAGCATTAATCTAGTCCTCGCTGGAGAGACCATCAAACCGGTCTGTACGCCATGCCAGTCGATCTTCGGGTCATTGGACGGGATTCTACGTGCTTACGGACCAGGCTTTACATACATACATTTTAGTGACTACAAGAACTGGAAAATTGTAAATTGTTGCTTTTAGTTCTTCCATCTCGCAAGGTTGTTAACTGTGGTAGGACACTAGGATATCATGCAAATGAAACATAATCTAATATGTGTAGGATAAATATTTATTATTAGACAGTTACAATATGATTTTCGAAGCGCAAGAACAAACATCTATCTCTATACTGAATCATCACACTCAAATCTCATGCTATACATTTGATAAATATCAAACATTACATTGAAGTATACAAATACAAGACGTGTACCAATTAAGCATCTATACTTTGCTTCAATAAATTTCATAATATACATATAATATACCATACTCTTAACAAGGTTATATGAATGTTGATAATATATTATACTTTTTTATACCTATCTGATCTCTTATGAAATCCAGCATGCAAAGAAAGCCTTAGCTTGCTAATGCTTTTATAACAACATTTCATGTTTATAATACTTACTAATTTTTCTAAGCCTACTGTCCGTAACTTCATTATTATTATTACATAACTAAGAAAATAAATCGTCTATAGTGAGATTCCCGACAACAAATCAAAAGCAAAAAAATCTAATGCTTCATGCTTCCTTACTTGAAAAACGACAAATATTACGCAAGTAGGTATACATACTATAGCAGTAAATAGGAGAGTTACTATAACAAATATACATTTTATATAAATTATAGGAATGTCTGTGAAACTATGCAACAATATTTAGATTGAAACAGTATTATTAACCTCAAATTTATACTTCGTGATGGTCGTAGTAGGACGTAAATATTATGCGCGCTTCTTGCTTACATTTTCCATAATTAAAAATACTGTTTCAATTTTATAACACGGTTTAAGAGTATGGGATCAACTACTACCACAGCTACTACCTACTTGTTTAAAACAATAAAACTTATTATATTTTGAATAAGAAAACATAGAAACTAAACAGTTACAAAGTTTAGCCCGATATTACTTTTGTTATTTTCAATAAATACTTTTATAACATATATGAAGTTATATATTACCTTTTCTTCAGGACCGATATGTTATATAAAGAAAATTTTGTATAAATCACTTCTTACAAAATATTAATTACCTACTTTGGTATAATCACAATTTCTATACTTTATTATTACATACAATAACAGTAACAATTAAATTTTCAAAAGATAATAGAATACCTTGCTTACTGATTAAATTACTACAACATTTTGAAAAGTGGTTTAGGTAAAGTTTTTTACATAGATTTTGGTATTGCTCATCCATATCATATAATATTATTAAGAAACCTTAAATGGGTAAGCATAATATGAAATGAGTTTTAGGTGATATCTAACTTTATACATCAAGGCATAGTATAGATTACGATGCAGTCACTTAGCAAGAAAATGCAAAGACATTTTTGTTTTATAAAATTGTTCGAGACTGCTGTTGAGATAAGGACTGTAGCGCCGCCAAGCGGTGCGGGGCGAAAGCGCCGAAACATGATTTGCAACGCGACACATTTCATGACGTCACCACATCACCTCCCGCACCAAGGGGCTGTTGCAGTAAATAAGGACTTAATAATAACCAGTGATTGGTTAATAAATAGATACTCCATTACATTGGAAAGGTGCCGCGGTTCCGAGATTGAAAAATAATTTATTTGAATAAATATTACCTTTTCATAAAAGTTTCGTGATAAAAAATATTAATTTCGCATCCTGTTTAACCAATCACTGTTCATAAAACAGGATGTAATGACTATAAATAATGTTTAATCTCATTTTATATTAAAAAAAATGGAAGTTAAATTATCAGAGTAGTACACATTAGTAGAACTCTGTTAAATAAACATGATTTGGATTAGCTTTCAACATGAAGAATAAAAAATAAAATATAAATCAAAGATAGTTCACCATACAATGTTTTATAAAGTATTTTACTAACCAATATGATAACGGACACTAAAGATAAACATATTTGTACATAATTATTTAAAAACCCAAAATGAATATGTACCGGTGTTAGATCACTATAAATTAATATGAGCAGCTTAGTCATAACAACATTATCAAAGCTTCAATGTAATCGAGAACATAGATATAAAATATAAACCTTTTGTAATTTAATAAAAATAAAATTGATCTCTGGTATAAAATACCTATTCTAGCGACTCCACTTCAAAATTTAGCCATTAACAGTGCAAACTAAAATGTACATAAAGATTTTTTTCTCATTAACTGGATCCAGTGCTTAGTTCATAGGTGTGTCTGAAGAGAAAACCACATTTAGCATCTAATTGTGAATGTTTATGCCTCTACCATTGTCTATAAATTCCATTCATTTTATGTTGTTCAAGATTAGTGGTCCAGCTACATTTACTATGCAAACATACTAAAACTGATCAGCTAACAGGTTACAAATTTCTTGTGACACAGTTTCTTTGCTCGACCTTACTGTCAGTCTATACATTTGAGCTTGCTTGTTGGGTTCCAATCTCATGAGGCAACCTACTTGCTGGACACGAGTGTGCACGATACCAGCACATACAAAATTTTCAGGATTGGGATCTATGCCGTCTAAAAGCTGCATACCAAAACCAGATAGTTTGGTGCGGGTTGCAGACAAATCTATGGCTCCCTGTGCCTTGAATATTTTTTGTGCTCTTTGCTGTTCCCCACCAAGATTTTTCCATCTAGCAAAGAATGACTCTCCATTCATTTCTGTAGGTTCAAAGAATTTGTTCAAAGTAAGGGGCAATTTTAAGGTAATTTTTTGTGGTACATTGTTATAGTTAAAAGTGATAGTCATACTTGGAGTATCAATAAAGTCTTCAATGCATTCTGCTGTTAACATTTGCTGAATCTGAGCTCCTGCTTCTATGACAGGTTCCATAGGCTTTACCTGTACATTAAGTTTGTGCATGTCTGCCCACTGAAGCTCAGGATGGATGTTTAGAACAGGGTAGGAAGCTTTATTCCCATAAAATAATCCAATCCTCCCTAGATTTTGTCTGAACTCACTTTTGACTCCTATTTGTATAATGTCATTCTCAAAGAGTACTCCATTGTTTTTGAATAAGAATTTTTTGATATTATTTTGCTGCACAGTATTTGGACTTATTTTGGGAGTGGTATACAAATCACCAAGAACATCCAGCAGCCCATTACCAGCTGAAGGAGCAGTTGTACCAGGAGGTGTAGATAATCCCAGAAGATCAGCACTCGAGTTATTAGTATTATTTGTGGAATTCACAATTGGAGCTGGCATGGCATTTGGTTGTGGACTCTTAGATTCTCTTACATCATCTGGAATACGTCCTGGCTTTTTCTTTTTCAAAACTGCAAGAATGGATGATTCCCTTTCTGGGAATGCTGGCATTTCTTCCAGTACTGTGGCTAAAACATCTGAGCTTGCTACAATACTAAGCTGCAAATATTCTGATGCTCTCTGTTGTAGCTCAACATCTGCTGAACGCAAGTTGGAATCAGCACGGAATACTTCTTTCACACGATTTTTAATCTCTGGGAAAAGGTTTACCAGTTTTATGTATGTTGATAACAAAAGTGCGCGCGTCGCTGCGGAACACAAATGATATTTAGAGTGTAAAAGCTCAAATTGAACTTGAGGGGAAGATCTTGTATCACCAGCAATTAGATTACCAAATTCGCCCAGAATGTATCCACCCACTTTAACCATATTTTCGTGGCATGTTGGAGCTTGCAAAGCCTCAAAAACAGTTTTGGCAGCATACCCTTGAACCTCCTCTCTGTTAATCACAATTTGAATGACTCTGTACCAAACTTCTTCTGAAACATAATCTCCAGCAATTCTAATGAGATTGAGAATCACATCTACATACCATGTGAAATCTGTAGCATACTTTTCTGCTAATATTGCCACCTTCAAAACCATTTCTTCCCTAATAGAGTAGTCAGCTGTTTCTAAGTAAGCTAACATTTCTTGAACAATTTCTTCTGCATTTGTTTTGTCACACATTGCATACAACAAGTCTACAGCTTGCTGTCTCACTGATACATCTTTTTCCATTTTCATTGACAGTATAACAACTTCTTGATGCTTTTTGACAGCTTCATGAGAAAATTCTGATGTAGCAAGATGGCACATTGACTCAAGGGCCAAGTATCTCAAGTTGGTTTCCCGGTTGCTTAAGAACTGACCCAACTGGTTACAAGCACGCACCAGTAAGTTAGGTTCACTGTCATTGTGAATAATAAGACTTATTGCTTCAAATAGAACAGCATTTTTAGCATTTGAATGTTGAACTTTCTTTGACTTGGGAGGTTCTTGAGCTTTGTTGAATATGGTCTCCAAACATTCAGATAGGCGGCCTCTTACACCAGGTTCCTCGGAGGGAGGTGTATAGTTTTGGAGAAGTCTTAACAACTTCACAGAAAGCCATGGTGCTGGTACAAAGTAATATGTATAATCCTGGAGGTCTGTGTAGCTAGCTGTAACAATGCGGCTCAGCCTTGCCACTGCAAGTGTGACACATCCTTTGTACTCTTCAGGATTTTTCTTGACAAGTGCATCTATCAGAGATGTAGCAGCAGTAACCACACCCATGTGTGGATCATTCAAAAGATGTATAATTCTTGATGTCCACTCACCTCCAGGTATTATTTCAGGAGACTTACGAAACAATCTGAGGAGGCAAAGTGCAGCAGATTGCTTGACAACATCCATAGTGTCCCCAGATACAAGTAGTTTGGGAATCTCAGTGCCGAAAGCTTCAGCCATATCTTTACTACCGATGTTTGCGATACACTGCAAGGCCAGGTTGACATGGATGGGATTACGGGACTGCAAATCATTCTTGATACTTTGAATGATGAGCTTAATCAGGTCACTGTTAGTATTCACAAGAACAGATATGAATAGATACCCAATCTGTTTCTCTGAGTATTTGTTGGAGGAAAGCAAGTTCACAGCTTCCATATGCCCGAAGTCGATGTCATGGCCCAGGAGAAAGATAAACAGGAGCTTGCAGACATACTTTTTCTTTTGATATCCATCAAGTGTTTTGTCGCCTTTAAACTTGCTTCGAATATTAGCCAATTCCTTGTTGATCCTCTTAATTTCTGCTTCTTTACTTTTACAGTTCCGTATATCAGATATGAAGACTGCGAGTCCTCGCATTCCATCGCCCCTAACGGCAGGCATATTGCCAAGTGACTTATCGAACACCAGTTTTATGCCTTTTCTTTACTCTTCCAACGAAAAAATCCACTACCAAGTGACCGGCACCAATGTAGGGGGTGTAATTTCCGTAATTGCACTTCGACTTCCAACTAATCAATCAGCCGCCGTCATTAAATTGTAAGTACCACAAAACGAAGATGAGCTTTCTTCTACAACGCCTTCCATTACCATAGATTTATGAAAACTGAAACGTCAGTCACATGAAGCTACAGATAAAAATGGAGGGCAAAGTTGGGAACAAAACTTGAGTCAAANCCAGAGGCACGGAACAAATGCTTGGTGGTGTTTTTCTTTAAGAAAGGGGTAAAAGCCTTATTAACCCTTATTCAAACGCGAGCTGGTATGCATTTTTTTTACAAAGTTGAAGTGGATTTTGGGTAATTGTGGGTCACTTATTTCATATTTTTGATCAAAATTTATAAAAAAATAGGGGAAGGGGTAGTTTTTTGTTTGGAAATTTAAAATTTTTGTTTCTATAAGACATTTTGAAGTAGTATGACCATATTGAGGATATATCTGGGACTTTCTGTGGGACCTTACTTATCTAATTTTGCATAATGTTTTCTACGGCCGTTTACTGTAATCAATCCATATCCAAATCCGTCTGTCAACTGCCAAATTAAAATCTGTTTTCTATCAAATATCCACAGTTTTCGATGCCTTTACACTTTCTTAATGTTTTAATTCATCTTAAAACAAAAACATCGAAAACCTTTTTTCATAATCATATTAAGTGCACTTTATCAAGACACACTGTTTAAACGTAAATCAGTCTTTGTCGTCCTGAGAAAAATAAATAAAAGGTTACCCTACTTAGAAAGAGAGAGCCTGCCCACAGAGAGCGAGATAGTGATACATAGGTTGTGCTTCAAGTAGGTATTCTAAGTCTGGCCTCCATTTTTATCTTTAGCTTCATGGTCAGTCAGAAAGACAGGCACTTCTCCAATAAATTGTTTATGGATCAATATCATAATGCTTGGGCCACATCTGCGGAAATCGAATTTCGATTTCGAAGAAGTCAGTGTCGACGAAACCACAAAACCAAAATTATGCCAAAATAGTTCGTGAATATGTTAGCTGAAACTGAAGGGACGATGATGAAGATATATTTGTAAGCATTTTTAAAGTTGTTGTTACTTCGAGCGGATCTCTACTAGAAAGAAAGAAAAATATTGATTAAGTACCAAAAATTAAACAATTGGTATTAATTACTAATTAAACCGTAGTTAAATAAACGACGATTCGTTACATTTCGTAGGCTATTTGAATTTTGATTACCATTAGCACTTGTGTTCTTTGATAAATGAGCTAAAGAGCTAATCATAACCGTGGCATTATAAAGTAATTGTGTAGCAATACCTTTATTATTGACAGCTCAATTGACGTTACTAGCTCTATAGTCTCTGGTTGCCATTGTTCTCTAGTTTATGGTTGCTCGCACGGTCACAAGACGTAAGATCCAAAGATCATGGGAATTGTATTGTAAAAATTACGTCTTTCTTTACCAATTATTCTGTGGTGGTCTCTTGTGAATGGTGTTGGTGCAGTGATCAGTTTTAGTTATAGTATGTTTCTGACTATGGTGTTATTTGTATCGGTTGTTCATTGGTGAATGGCTGGTGGTAAAGTCCAAACAACTAATGAATGATGCAGTCTATTTTCTGGACAGGCAGAGTGGTATCACGTGTTATTAGAAACGGACTTCTGAGTTTCTCGAGTGCTACTGAATTAAATGTTTCAAATAAGAAATATCCGTATTTAGTTTCGGTAGTATGTGGCTTTCCCAAAGACATTGCTAATGGAAGAACACATAAAGGTCAATTCGGAGACGACGCATGGTTTTCCACTCATTTCAATAATGCGGATGTTATTGGTAAGTAAAAAGCTTTTCAAACCTATAGTTTATGTTTGGGCTTAATTTAATTCCTGAATTTGTTGTTGATGTATTGTGATAATATGGTCTGCCTTGGTAACTTGTCATTGTTTCAATTTTATTAACAAAGTATGTTTTTCCAGTCTTTTATTTCAGTCAAATGTAGCCTTGTTTATGTATCAGAATTATGTTTAAAGCAATAATAGCAATTAAATTGTTTTTGTGCAGAATTTGGATATTTTTAATTCAAAATCACAAGACTGTCTAACCAGTTAGAAACTTATAAAATGTCTTTTTTTCTCTTATTTGTCGTGAAAGCCATAAACATTCTTATTAGAATGACATTTTAGCATTGTTTTTATTATAAACTTTAAATATAATTTGTTCGCCTTTAAATAGTAAATTTGGTAAACAAGCAGTAGACCCAGAATGTATTCATTCATGTTATTGCATTTAAAATTAAGAACACATCCTGTATAAATTTATTACCACCATTTTTTTGAAAGGATTAAATTATAGAAAGTAATAACATAATATTTAGGAAACTCAAATATGAAAGAAACTGGTAACAAATAGAAACAACAATGATTAAAATGTAAAGAACATTAACATTTCGGTTTTGTCATTGAAATGGTGTACCTATTTCACTAGACTAGTGTCACACCAGGAAAAGTAGTACACAGAAAAATATTATGCATTAGGGTGGATGCTAGGGCTTGAATACCGGAATTCCGGAATTTCGTAACTCCGGAATTTCGGATACATTTTTTCCGATATTTCAATTCCGGAACTGAAGCCAATATCGTATTCCGATATTGAAATTTTTCATAAATTATTTTAAGTTTTCAAAACGTTTAAATATCAAAATAGGTTCTTAGATAAGAAAGTCCTTGAGATATGTATTCGCAACTTTATTAGTAATAATATTAAAGAGGCAATAGGGCGAAACCAAAGCTCCAAAATGTTCGATAGAGACAACTCTAATGGGCGAAGCCAGCAGAAGAAAGCGGATGATAGAGTAAAACCTGTTAATAGCTCAGCCACAGGACAGTTCCAACAGCTAAGCTAACTCGACACTATACCGAAGATTAGCCGGACATCAGCCCTTACGTGATTAGGATGGCTCTCAAACANTGCCAATAAGTGAGATTATATAATAAATGTTATAGTTTAGGAATTTGAATCGAAAAAACACTTATCAGAATTTTCGTTGAACAAAGTTTCAAAAATACCAAAAACGCGCGCTAAAAACTTAAAATTTTTCACACCAAAACCGTTTGGTTGACTTTGACATTAGCTGACAGTGACAAATGACGTTGAAAAGTTGTAAAATGGCATAGATAAGTAAAAAAATATATTTAAAAATATAAATAAGTGAACAAGATATCTTTAAGTATTACCATATCGAAAATTAGGATCATTTTTTAAAAGTAAACAAAGTGGTAATATATCTACCTTTATTTGAATAAGGGTTAAGGAGAAAGGATCATTACAGACCCATCTGGGTTCTGACTCTGAGTCATGTCTACAAGCTGTTTTTGAGAGCCATCACGAATAGTCTCGCGCGTAGGTTCGATGACTTATAGTCTCTCGAGGAAGCCAGTTATCGAAACGTTTACACTACCATATACCGCATCTATACGCTACGGCAGGTTATACAGAAAACCGAAGAGTCTAACTTGCCTATATGCTTGGCGTTCTTAGACTATGAGAAGGTCTTTGAGCCTGGCTGAGCACGAGGGCGATTCCTCTGCAGCGAGCTGTGAGGCAGGGAGATGTAATAATACGTCGAATTCAACTCGGCTGGGCAGCGTTCGGGAAACTACATAACATCTTTTCGACCAAAACACTGCAGTGCCTAAAGACGAAAGTCTACAATCAGTGTGTGTTACCAGTAGTGATGACACACGGTTCGGAAACGTGGCCTCTTACTATAAGGCCTTATAATAAGCTCAAAGTTGCACACCATGGTATGGAGAGTGCTATGCTCGGTGTTTCTTTTCGAGATCGAACCAGAAATGAGATTCGTAAACGAACTAAAGTTGCCTGACATATAGCGATCAGATTACCAAGCTAAAGTGGCAATGGGCAGGGCACATAGTACGTAGAACAGACGGCCGATGGGGCAAGGTTCTAAAGTGGAGGCCACATACGTGTACGTGTTTGTCGGGAGGCGCTTTCTTTTTTTAACCAACTCCGGAACTAGAACCGGAATTCCGGAGTTGAGTGCCCAATATCGGAAATCAGTTCCGGAGTTGAAAACTATCCGATATTGCAAGCCCTAGTGGATGCTCTATTGACTAGAGTATCCACCCTAATGCATAATATTTTTCTACCATACATTTAACCATATTTCTCAATAAAACAAGTAATTCATTTCAATAATTTTTATTGCCTTTTCAACATGATTTGATGTTAGAATGAAACTGAATGTTAATGGGTACTTTGACAAGGTGGGTGGGCATTATGACAAGTTAATGTGATCATCTAAAAATAAAATTGGTTCAGTAAAAACTAACACATACCTTAGCTGTTTATCATTATTTTTACAATTTGTTCTTTTTCAGTGAAGCTATAAGTAGACTGGTGTTGTAATATAGGATGTGTAAAAGTCAAACAAAATATAAAGTTAATGGTTTCTGGTTTGTTTTAAAGTACAGTACTACAGTGTAGTAGTGTGTGTAGTTAGTAGACTCACATTGGTTGGTAGTTTGACATGATTCTATTGTTGTACTACTAGGGTTGTTCAAAAAGTAAACCATTCTCATTACTTTTTGAATACCCCTCTTATGTACCTATGGATGCCTCTTGCCCTCTCATGCACATCACATTTAAAAATTTTGATGTAACATTGGCTCTATTACAAGTACATAAGATGACTGTATTAACCTTGATCTGTACAAAAATGTCTAGAAACAAAGAAAGAAAAATGTTTATTTGGTCCAAAACAATTATTACTATTTTATACAGTTCAAAGTATTTGTACATGTTTGAACCAAAATGGCATCTGCTCAGCATTGTGTCCTGAGATTATCACTTATATTATATTATTTATCACCTATTGTATTCTTCTTAGGAGTCGCTGATGGAGTGGGAGGCTGGCGCGCGTACGGCATTGATCCGGGCGAATTCTCCTCGTATCTCATGAGGACGTGCGAGAGGCTAGTCCAAATGGGTCATTTCAAATTGTCAGAACCTGGGGATCTGCTAGCTAAATCCTATTATGAATTACTGGAACACAAGAAACCTATATTAGGTATGTATTACTTGATTTGGTAATATGGATAAATTAATTGCCTTTTGTCTATATGCAAA